ACATAGGGGGTGGGTGGGTGGACTACCACAGCCTGGTTCTTCCAAGTGGTCTGTAGACCCCACATGAGAATCACCTTGGGGTGAGGTGGGGGTGCACTGTTTATTTCCAGACCCCACCCCAAGCCTACTGAGTCAGATGGGTGTGGAGAGGCCTGGCCGTCTGCACTTCAACAAAAACTATAGGGATACCCCTACACTTGGTATACTCTAAAAATTCTTCTAGCACTGAAATTCTCTAATTCTTTGACTTTGTATTTAGGAAATGAAATTTCTAGGTAAGTACTTAAAGGAAATAATTTGGTTTTAATGGATTGGGCACAAACGTGTATAGTTGTTTTAAAAAGGAAGAACTCAACTCACAAAGACTTCTCCTTAATAAAACTGTAATACTTAGTACAAACATAAACGTGTATTATAAATTTTTGAATAGTCATTAAATGCAGTCCAATTTTATTCACCTGGATCCTAGGTCAATGCTCAACAAATGAGCCATGCCCGGCCAGGTTATATACGGGATCTTAATAACCACTTCACTTCGATTAAGGAAAATTATCCAAAACTTAGAAATCGGGTGTGGTGTGGGACAAAGCCATGCTGGGGCATTGTTTAATGGGCAGGGCTTATTCCTGAGGAGAATGTATCTGTGTTTAAACTTGCTATTTACTGTTTGATTAGAACCCAGACACCATAAAGTTACACATTAACTTGTAGATTTGTCTCTGGTAGACAAAATAACCTCAGAAGTTATGGTTTTATTACCCTATAAGCCAGCAATTTTCAACTTTTTTCATCTCATGGCACACTTAAACTACTAAAATTCTGTGACACACCAAAAAACTGCATTTTTTGCCAATCTTACAATAAAAATAGATATAATTTTTTTTTATTCCTCACCTGAGGATATTTTTTCCACTGCTTTTCAGAGAGAGTAGAAGAGGGAGAGAGAGAGAGAAAGAAACATCCATGTGAGAGAGGCACATTGATTGGTTGTATCCTGCATGCGTCCTGACAGGGGCCAGGGATGGAGCCTGTAACCCAGGTACATGCCCTTGGCCAGAATCAAACCTGCCACCCTTGACATTCTAACCACTGAGCAAAACTGCCTAGGGCAAAATAGGTATCATTTTCATTCCGTCACACTGGGCAGCTACTGTTGTTGGCTGCTGTCATTTTTTTATTTGACAGCCTAAGGGAAGAGAGGTAAGTGCCCCTAACTAAACAGTCAGGCATATTGCATGTTTTACACATTCTTTGGGCCACCAGTTGAAAATCCCTGCTTCAGGCTACTAGCCAGGCGTGTATCTAACCTAGTAATCTTATCCCAACATTCTTTTTAATGTTTGTAAACACCCAGTTCTTTGATTGTTCTTGGAACCAACTTTACCATTGTATCAGATCCTTCATTAATGAGATAAAAAATATTTTAAATGTGTTAATTTATATTCGTTCAAGGATCTTGTTATCTTTCCTAAAATTATACTTTGACTCTATACTGTCTTTTACTTGTACTAAGGAATGAAAAGTCACCATTTTGAACCATCTTTGTTTTTTTGTTAGTAAGAGAAATAGATGCATAATTTATATTTTCCTCAAAACCAAACTATTTTTCTTTCTTTTAAAAATTTATCTTTATTGTTGAAAGTATTACAGATATTGCCCCCTCTTTTCCCCCACTGATCCCCTCCACCCGGCATCTGCCCCACCCCAGGCCTTCACCACACGTTGTCTGTGTCCCTGGGTTATGCACACATGCCTGTAAGTTCTCTGATTAATCTCTCCCCACCCACTCCCCCACCCCCATCTTCCCACTGAGATTCATCAGTCTGTTCCATGCTTCTGTGTCTCTGGGCTTATTTTGGTCCTCAGTCTGTTTTGTTTATTAGATTCCACATATGAGTGAGATCATGGAAAACTGAGTCAGGAAGAATCTGAAAACCTGAATAGGCCAATAACAACTGATGAAATCGAAGCAGTGATAAAAAAAAAAACTCCCAGCAAACAAAAGCCCTGGTCCAAACGGCTTCATAAGGGAGCTTTCTAATTCTTTAAGTTGTAGGACTAGTTTACTAAAAATTTCTCTTGCTTTTTTTTAGGTAGGCCTGCAGTGCTATGAACTTCCCTCTTAGGACTGCTTTTGCTGTGTCCCATAGATTTGGGGTTGTTGTGTGTTCATTTTCATTTGTTTCCAGGAAGTTTTTTATTTCTTTCTTGATCTTCTTGGTAGCCCATACATTGTTTAATAGCATGCTATTTAGCCATCATGTGTTTTTGAGTGTTTTTACTGTAGTTGATTTCTAATTTCATGCCATTGTGATCTGAGATGCTTCTAAACCAAACTATTTTAGAAGAGCAGGGAAACTGTTCAGGCTACAAGGAAGTTGTTATGTGTCCCAACTACTTCCTAAAATCATTAACCAAAAGCTCCCATAGCTCTTTATAAATGCATATTTCTTTTATGATTTTTCCAAATGGTTATCATTTGTGTAGCTGCCTCACCCGCTGCTGGGAGTTCCTAAAGGACACAGGCCCTGTCTTGATATACCTGAGGTGATACTTGACATAGTAGGCAAGTGATAAGTGTTGAAAGAATGAATTTTGAGTCCATGAAATGTTTTGAAGTCTGTAAAGTATTATAAAAATTTTTTTTTAATACTCCAGTGCTTCTTCCATAAATATTTACTTTCTTCCCAGTTTGGCAGAGGAAAAATGAATTTCCCCCACACTTTTCACATCGATGGGCTGCCTTACACAGCAGCAAAACGGAAGCGATGGATTTTAAATTACTGCAGATCAGCATGGCATCTTACCCTCAGTTCCCCTGGCCCAGGTGGCCAGTTGAATATGGTTTGTTCTGTCCCCCTTTCCTAGAAAGAAAAGTAATTTCCAGAAATTCTATACCATGATTTGATGTGAGTGTATTAATCTGCGGTGGCTAAAAACCTGGTCACACCTGAGATTTACTTGAACAGTTGAGGCTTGGAACTGACCTTTGAAACATACATCAGCTCTCTGGCAACATTTTAAATAGAACGATGACTTCCTATAACTATTTTTGTTTCAGCTCCAGGAAATGTTTCTGCAGCACTAACCGTGGGTTGTAGACTTGGACTTTAGAAGCCTTGTAGTCTCTTAATATACCACCCAGTGATTAAAGAGTCAGAGTTTTTATACCTTATCTTTGTTCTGAGGAGTCGGTGTTTGCTTCTGTCTTAAAAGCCTGAAGAACACATTTGGGCTCAGCAGTGATTTCACTTTTTCTGAGACTCACTTTTCAATTAAATCATGTTTATGGCTAACTGTATTTTCAAAGAACAGAAACAAAAATCTTTTAAACAAAAGGAAAAAAAGAAAAAAAGAAAAGACACGCTTCTTACACACAGCTCTTTAAGTGATCTTATCAACCGGGTGGGGAGCTTTGCAGGAAACTGGCCCCCACGTCCACAGTCCACCAATGGGGAAATCTTGCTTGGAAACAAGTACGCACCAGGGTTGCTGGCTACGGGGAGAAGTAGAATATTTACTCCCCCATCTGCCGTCTTTTCTCATTAAAAGAAAAAAGAAAAGAACTTAGGGGAGAAAATGCCAAAAGTAAAAATCTTTCCCGTTTTTTAGCATGATGCCTATTCATCTCTTGTCTAGGTAAAGTCTGCCTTTAGTAACAGAATGGCTCTTTTTAAAATCTGTCTCTGTGAGATTTTCACTTTTATTTTGTACAAATCTGTCATGAGAATTATTTACATGGAACACAGGTTTAGATTATTTTTATAAAGCAGTATTATAAAAACAATAGCTATTAAGGTGGTGAAATTTTGAATTCTTTCTTGATTTAAATCTGTGGCTTGTCTTTGGAATCACCTGGGGAGCTTTAAAAATACAGGTTCTCAGGCTCCACCCTGAGAGATCCTGATTCAGGTCTGGGATGGGGCCCAAGAACCTATTCGTAAGAGGCTCCTCAAGTGATTCAAATGAACTGCAGGTTTGGAAACTTACGGTATAAATTAAGGTGGATCCTTGAGACCATTTTTTCTCCAATATTGATAGCAGAGGGTTTTCTACAAAACCTCAAGAGATTTTAAAGTGATTAATCAAATCAGCCACACAGGGTCAGTCTTTCTCTACAGGCATGTAGCTGAAAGTGAATCTCACAGAGTGGGAACCAAAGTAGCTGTGCCAGGCGTTGGTATAAGTTTCCCCAGTAAGTGGTGACAGCCACACGGCTTTTGCCTTGTGT